ATATTAATACTTTTCTTTTCATAAAAATTACAGCAACCCAGGACTCAAAACTCTGAATTCAGGGAAAAACCAAAACAATGACCCTGGTTTCAACCTCCTGAGTTGCATAATTTTCAAACCAGTTACAGACACAAACTTTATTCTAGTGAGAAGTGTATAACACAAAGCAACCATCACACAAGCACCAGCTATCAGTGATCAATGTCCATATGGTGACATCCAAGTCTGGTCTGAAAGAAAGAAAGTTGGTAGAAAAATTGATGGGTTGATTAGGAACACTGATGGTTTGGAATATGGAGGGATGGAAGCAGGAAGATACTATGAAGGTGAAAAAGGAACGAAATGGTTGAAGGAATCTAAGTTGAAATTGCCAAAACTATCAAGAGATATGCTGGTCCAATTGGATCACGAAAAAAAAACAGTTTTGGAGGAGTTAGAAATTGTGGGTTTTGTTCATGGAGGTAAGTAAATTGTTGATTTATTTGCAATTTTCTATTAACCTTCTAATAAAATATTACTTTCAACAACAATGATTGATGAAAAAAAATTTAAATATAGGGCGTTCCTTAATGTTAATCTTTGTTGATATTCCAAAAGGATATATTTGTAGGCTAACAAGAAGCATTGTTTATGAAATTCCTACCAAAATCATGTCTTTTTATAAAGCTTTAGAACTAATCAGTGCAGTCTGGACTGCAAAGGTATGTTTGTATGTGCATGTATACATTTTATGTTGGATGTTTATTAATTGTGAATTTTTCTTAGTTGAAAGTTCAAAGAACAATTTCTATAGTTGAGCAACCAAAAACTAAAATATCGGTAGGCATTAAAAGGAAAAAATCTCAAGAGGAAAAAAGGTTCAATGGCTCAAATACATCACCAAAAAGAATTTCAACTGAACAGTAGTCTTGCAATACATTGATAATTTAATCAAATAATTCCACATTATATTGAGGATGACAAATGATCAAAGTAATATATTGAAATTTAAAGAACTAATTAGATATTATTAATAATATTGAAAAATAACATAGATACTTGCACATTGGAAATAATTTTCATTTTCATCCTTACATCTTTTTCAATAAAAAGGTACAATTTAAACAAGTTGTCAATGACATCAAGAAAGAATTGAAGGATAGAATGAAAGCGGCAAAAAGACGTCCTGTTGCTAATGCACAATCACAAGTTCATTCATTTAATAAATCAGCACATTCTGAAATTATAGCAGACCATAATGATCCTTACAGGGTAGAGTGGACAGATGTAGATGATGGTTCAACATATTATATTGGAGAAAAGGTAGGTTATGAGTGTATATATATGTTTCAATAGATCACTTGAAGTTTTTTTTTTTTTCTATTATTAACTTTGATCATTTGTCATATATAAAAAATTGAAAATTGAAAAAGGCTCTTCGTATACCTGATACTGAAACTGATATTAAATTATTTTATCCAATACAAAATGGAGAACTTAATACAAAAGATTATGACTCAGTGAAAGCAGTTGTTGGTGACTTGGAAAAAATATGGACAAGTGTTCTTAAAGATAAATTTGATATCCTCCCAAAGGAATTTCATGTAACATTGTTGCACAGGAAGCTGTTTGTGTGAGTTTTGGAGCTGGAATTTCTTGTTCATGCGTGGTTGATATAGGTTCTCAAACAACTACAGTTTCATGTGTAGAAGATGGAATGTGTATCAATGACTCAAGGTTAATATCCAAGTTTATTATTTTATTTTATTATTATTATTCAATTTAATCATTTAATTAAAAACTCTGTTTTTATTTTCAGATTAAGTTTACATTACGGTGGCGATGACATAACAACATTTTTCATTAAACTTTTAAAAAAAAATAAATTCCCTTATCAAGAGATGAATTTAAACTGTGTGTATGATTGGCTATTGGCAGAAGAAATTAAGGAAAAATTTTGTACACTTGATGAGGTGAAGATTTAATTAATTAATTGTTTAATAAATATATTTTTAATATAATAATCTAATATTAAATGTATTCCTTTACATAGGCAAATTTGGGTATTCAATTAAACGAATTCTTTGTTAGAGCATCCAATAAACACACACTCTTGTATAAATCAAAGATTTATGACGATGCTATCATTGCACCAATGGTACATTTTCTTTTTGAATTATTATCATTACACAGTCACTCTTTTGATACAAGAAAATCACTTTTTTATTCTCCTTTTGTCTTATAACGCGAGATTTTCTTGCATCGCGAGAGTTTTATCAATGAAAAATAGAGATCAAAATGAAGTTTAATATGATTTTTTGTATACTGAGAGTGACTGTGTATCGTTATTATTTGGAATATAACATTATTTTTATAATTAATTTTCTACTTTCTTTTTAACTTAATTTGTTAATAATAGTTACTTTTTTATCCAAACTTAATAAATTTTCATAAAAAATTAAGCGAATTTTCGCCAAAATTTGTTTTAAATATGATAGATGATATTACAGAAGGATCGTTGAATTCCAATAATATGGTATGTTGTGATTACACACACACACATATATATATAGTATTTTTTTTTATTAATAATTAATTAATTAATATTTTTTTATAGGTTGTCGCACAAGTATCGCTTACTCAAAAACCAAAGATTCCTGTTTCGTCATCACAAGCATCACAATTTAAAAGTTCATTTCCTTCTCCATCGCCACAGTCTCGTGATAGTCCTGGTTCAACAACTCCTCTTCAAATCGAGAATCCTGTGCCATCAACTCCATCCAATAACAACGTCACTTCTGCCATCAATACTACGGAACAAGAATCCCCAAGTTTAATGACATCTCTGACAAGCATTCATGATGCTCTTCTTGTTGATCCATCATCAACTCTTCCACTTGACGATGCAATAATTCAAAGTATTAATGCAACGTCTACAGATGAAAGAGTTAAAAGGTTTTATCCTAATATAATTTTGGTTGGTGGTAGTAGTCTTATTCCGGGCTTAAGCAAAATGTTGGAAGAAAGGTAGTTAATTATCTAAGCATTTGAAGTTTTTTGTTAACTTTATAATTTATTATTAATTAAAATCCATCTTTCTTTTCGTTTATTGACTTTTTAAAGATTAAGAGCTCGAAATATACAAAACTCTGATAAATTTACAATACTTGCATCACCAAGGGAATTAGATCCAAGACTGTTAGCATGGAAAGGTGGATTTGTTTTGAGTAAATTAGATATCATAAATGAGTTTTGGATTGGATCTAAAGAATGGGCAGAATTGGGTGTCAGATCACTTAGAGCAAAGGCATTTTTTATCATGTAAATCCCCTGTTTTTATAACTAATTTATTTTACTATTATTATTAAACAATAATAAATTTGTCTAAAAAATTGGATTATATAAAATTTATTATATTTAAGTATAAATTTGAATTTTCTTATAATGGTAGCAAAAATAAATAAATAAATTTATATTAAATCTTGTATTCGTTTTGTAAAGTTTCAATTTCATGATTTACTTTTAAATTATCAATAATATTTTGTAATATTTCACCACTATCTAATAAACTTTCTAAATCATAAATCGTTAAATTGATACGATGATCGGTAATCCTATTCTATTTATTATATAATTTTTGTTTAGTTAAATTAATTAATTAATCAGTGTCATATATATAATATTTATTACCTGAGAAAAATTGTAAGTCCTTATTTTCTCTGATCTCTCTCCACTTCCGACCTTGATAAAGGAATTTTTTAATTTAATAAATAAAACCAAAAAAATTAGAAATTAACAATTGAATTTACTTGTGATTTTCTAGTTTCACTTCTTTCTTGTTGTAATTTCACACGTTCCATATCATAAACTTTTGCCCCCAAAATTCTCAATGCTTTTGCTTTATTCTATTAATTTTATATTTTATATATTAATTAATTCTCACAATGTAAATAATCATAATTACACAAATAAATTTGATTTTTTTTTAAAAAAAAAGTACTTGTGGTTGTGAACGTTCATCTTGAATAGCCACAACTATTCCAGTTGGAATATGTTTAATTCTAACAGCACTAGATGTTGTATTCACATGTTGACCGCCTTTACCACTAGATCGATAACGTTGGATGATAAGATCTGATTCTTTTAATTTTGCATCAACTTTTGTTGATTCGGGTAGTATAGCAACGGTGACAGTGCTTGTATGTATACGACCTGCTTTTTCAGTAATAGGGACACGTTGAACTCTATGTACTCCTGATTCATATTTTAAATCACCATAAACTCCAACGCCTAATATTGAAGCAGTTGCTTCCTAAACTTTACAATAAAAACTTATATATAAACATTTTTATGTATATTGTATATATTTATTGATCAGGTAATTGATTATAGATATGTGATATATAATACCTTAATACCACCAATATCACTTTCTGATACGGACAATTTTTCGAATTTCCAATGTTTCAACAATGAAAATTTTTCATACATTTTAAAAATTTCACCTGCAAACAATTCAGCTTCATCGCCACCAGTTCCTACGTCGCAAACATTTTATTGTTGTTGTTATAATAATGATACGATATTATTGTTATCGATCTATTAAATGACTTTTAACAATATTTTAATTTCAAAAATTAATTTTACCTGCTCTAACTTCTAGCACTGCGTTTCCCTCATCTGCTAAATCTTTTGGAATCAAAGCAGACACAACAAACCTTTCTAGATGTTTAATTTGTTTGATCGTACTTTCATATTCTTCTTTTGCTAGCTTTTTTAATTCGCTATCAGCAGAATTGTCATTAAGCAAATTGTTAATTTCCAAAAGCTCCTATATATGTATCAATATTAAATTGTGCAGTATATGAAAAGAGTTTATTAAAACCATCAAACAAAACAAACAATCAATCAATCAAACAATCAATCAATTAATTAACAATCAACAATCAATAAATATTGAATTATTTCTCTACACCTCGAGTTTTTTTAAATTCTTTATATGGATTAATGATATCTGCTAATTCTGATAATTCTTTGGAGATAGGAATAATATTTTCAGAATTTTGATTATTATTTGTCTACATACATACATAAATATAAGCATTTAGTAACCATTAAAATCACAATTAAATTGAAAATGATGATTAAATTACCAGGATTTCATATTCTTTTGATAATTTTTCATGTCGACTTATCAAATCTTCTAATTTTTCTTGTACTTTACTATTTAATTTTGAATCTTTGAATATCAAAGAATTTGATGAATTGACTAAATATAATAATTATTTTTAATAAAGATGATGATAAATATTTTGGATTAATGGATGCTTTGTTCAATAATGTAAATTTGCACATGCTAAAAAATTCATCAAACCCAATGAAACTGAAGATCTTGTTATTAGAAATGGTTTTAAAGAAAACAAATGAGTTGAATGATGAAAGAGATAATTATTTGATATTTTAAAAACATTTGGATTAATTATTGTTGAATTGGATAAATTCGATTTAAAGATGATTTTGTATAATGAAAAATTTGACATGATAATTTGTGAAGATCTTGGAATTAATTTAGTGATAATCGTGTATATATATAGTTATCCACAAAAAATATCAGAATTCTGTCGTTTCACAAAAAATATCCGCAAATTTTTTATTATTATTATCATCATCAATGATAATAATATTAATATATAGGTAATAATAAGAGAGCATGAATAACAAAAAATTAATTTCTTTGTTTAAACAACATTAATAATATATGGGTAATAATGAGAGTATGAATAACAAAAATTAATTCTCTTGATTTCAGATATCAATGATAATAAGAGAGTACGAATAACAAAAATCAATTCTCTTTTTTTAAGTATTAATGATGATAATATTAATAGATATTAATAAAAAGGTATGAATAATGAAAATAAATTCTCTTTGCAGTGTTAACAGGATTAGATTTGATGATTTCTTTCTTTGATTAATGAGCCCTTTCTTTAGCAGATATAAAGAAAATAACAAATAAAAACCTTAGAAATTTTTATAAATAGGTATGATCTTTGAACAGTAAAAGACTTTATTAATATAGTGTCACCGATTAAATTTGGGAGAGCGTATTTTAATTGGCGATAACAATTGTTTTTGTTTTTGCGTGGATCAGAATGAATAGGGATCAACGAATTGAAGATAAAAGTTTTAAATAAAATATTTCTATTTTATTTATTTAGTTTTATTTAGTCGAAACTAATTAACTTGTTATCAAGTTACTTTTACATTAGGTCGAAATCAAGTTCTTTATATACATGTTCATTTACATATTAGCCCGAATTGCGCGAATTCGCTCACTTTGTACTTGGGCGAATCCGCACGTTTTGAGCGATTCCGCCCGTTCCGGGAGAATCGTCATTAATCTCTACTAAATAAAGTTAAATAAATATGAACGTGCTACGGATTGATTAATAATAATAATAATACGCGAAACATAACACGAATTCAGATGATAATAAATAATTATACACGTTATTAATAATAAAAATAGAAATAATAAAAATAAAATAAATAAAAATAAAAATAAATAATAGATTAAATAAAATAATAATAAAAATAAAAATAGAAATAAAAATAAAATTTAATTTGACCCAAAATTAAAGGATTCGGCCAAATTATCGTCATCATCATCTGATCCTGGTAACAGTTGCTCTTAGAAAGATTCAAGTCTGTAGTAGATAAACATAAGAATATTGTTGTAACTAGCCAAAAACAGATTGCTAATGAAATTTGTCTAAATTATGGAATAGAAATTGGCTTTAATCAATCTATTATTTCAAAAATGTATAATGGCACATATATACCTAAATGCAATCATACAATTGATGCCATTACTTTGTGGATTGAAATAGAAGAAAATAAATAGAATTATACTTCTTATTTATTATACTTATTATTTTTTAAATATTATTGAATAAACTCCAAACTTTTTTTAGAAATAAATATTGATGCAAAAGAATGCAAAATTATTCAAATACGCGGGTATCAAACTTCGAATATTCTCATGGGAAGTTTCACGGGGATCGGTAAATTCGTGGATAACTACATGATTATTCCAATATTTGGATATTTTCCGCCTTATTAATTAGTGTAACATTTATTAAATTGAACTGGTGTTTTTGCGATACTTGAAGTTAACATTGCACGATAAACAGGTTCATTTTTCATTCTTGCTAAATCTGTTTCCATCAATTCGTTTACTTCTTGTTGGGTCATTCCATGATAATCGCTTCCAAATTTTCACTTCGTGATATATGTTAGTTTCCCGTGATCTATAATTTACTATTTTACAGTAAGGCCTCAAGAATGGCAGCTAAATTAGCTGATAATGCTTCTCCATGGAGCTTTTGTTGACGAATTCTTTTAAACTTTTGGAGCCATCCAGCAGAAAATACCAATGTTCCATCTGGAATTCTTAAGCCATCTGCCAATTGCTTGGCTTTTCGATTAAAACAGCTTCACTTAAGATAGCTTTGTCTTGGTAAATTAAAACGAATTCCCTAAGAGCAAGTTCAAACTCAGGAACTGTTACAGATTTGTGTCTTTTAGCTTCGGGATTGGTGATTTCAGTGTTAAGTATATCATCACTTTTTTGCAATATTCTTGTTATAGTTGATTCATCTAGCCTAACCCCCATTTTTGTTCAATCCAATTTGCATATTCTTTTCTGGTCACTTTATTACTATTGCGAACATGTGAACAAAATTCAAATTTTTGAGAATCAGATAAAGTTATTTTACTTTTTGGAGGCATTTTATTCAAAGGTAATAAAAAAAATATAAATGTGGTAAGAACAAGAGTGTAAAATTAGATGTTTAAATAATGGCAAATGATTTTATTTTATTAAAAATTGTGATAATAGTAAGTGAATTTGTTTCTAAAAATTTTCATTCTTATCTTGCCATTTTATATAATAATTTCGCCTATAAAAGTTCCATCGTCTGCATTCTTATTAATAACTCTTTTTCATCAATTAAAAAAGAAAGAATACTTAATCCTTGTAAATAGCAAACAATTCAATTAATCCTTTATTTTATTTTCTGTTACTGTTGCTATGGTGCCGATCATCTAAAGACATCAAAATTTCAGCTAAACTTTAAAATGTATAAGCTCAATAACTAAGCAGGAT